AATGTTGACAGTGATATAGTCATCTAGTGAGTATAGATGACGACCATAGACTATACTAGACAATCCAGTGGAACGCTAGTAGGCTTGTAACTTGTAGATGTTTTTGAACTAGGTGCTCGTTAGGTATTTTTGAATTGAGTATGTTTACTAGGTATTTTTGAACTGAGTGTGTTCACTATGTATTTTTGAACTAAGTGTGTTCACTAGGTATTTTGAACTGTTCATTAGGTATTTTGAACTAAGTGTGTTCACTAGATATTTTTGAACTAGGTGTTCACTAGATGTTTTGGACTACGTGTTCACCAGTTGTAATCTATAAACCTTGGTAACGATGGACTTCGTGCCAATTCCTTAGTATGATCCTTAGGAATAAATGAACGATAAATAGTTGATTATTAGGAGTAAAGAAGATGATGGGGATGGGTAATTGGGTTGATTAATTGTTTGAAGATTGAACATAATAATTATATTATTGTGGGTTGAAAACCCTATGTACTCACCATGTTTCTCAACCTAACACACTTAATTTATTTATATCACAAGTGTTGATATGAAGTCACATTACACTGAGAGATTATGGAGATATAAATCACTAGTGATAATGAATGTAAGTTCTGTTTATGCTTATGTTTCTGTATTGACGATGACATCCCAAATGTTTTAAAATGAATAAAAATACTTTTATTCGGAAATGCTTTGATAACGTATTTATCATATTTTACTGGGAACAAATTCCATAACATTTTTATTAAAGGAGATACTCTAATTTTTATAAAGCATAAACAAAATCGGTTTTTTTCTGACCATAAAAAATGGGGATGTCACATATACTATGTGGTTATGGGTGAAATAGTCACCGGTATCGGTTGAAAGGACCGAAGTGGTAGGCTAGCACCCTGATATGCTAGGCGATGTACCGATCGATAGGACCGAAGGGGTAGGCCAACATCCTGATATGCTAGGCAGTTCCCAGTTAAAAGAGATCGCAGGGGTTGTCCAATACCCGGAAATGTTAGATTTTATATATATATAATATATATATATATATATATATATATATATATATATATATATATATATATAGTATGGTATGCCAAATGATAGGGGAACTCACTAAGCTTCGTGCTTACGGTTTTCAGTTTTGGTTTAAGGTATTTCGTTTTCAAAAGAAATAAGTCGGCTCGATCGTAACGCATCACACTATATTTCCACACATGATATCTTTGGGACTACACTCTGATATTGTTTTATGTTAAAATGTTTTGATTATTGACACTTTGGTTTTGACATGAGATGTTATTATGGATGTTTCTGTACTAATTGATTTTATAATAACTTACTTAAAAATAAAATTTTTGGTCTTGAATTTTGAAATGTTACACTTATTATCTATAAACTGATAAACCTGAATCTGCGAGCATTATATAAACTCACTTGAAAACACATATATGATCAATGAGAATGCTAGAATGAATTACTTAGTTGAGTTGGTTTGTCATACATAAGATATAATGATATACACATAATAATAGTTAATTGTGTGATTTATGTGTAAGCTATATATTTTGTATATACATCATTTTAAATTTTAGTTATCTAAAATAAACATTGCAACTTTGAGGAGACAAGATAAACATTACTTTATTTGTTTGATGACGTGCATAAGGTTAATTTGAGAATTAATTAAAAGAATTTGCTAGAATATTTATCACGTTTTATTAAATAGTATTCGATAAAATAAAATACGAACCCATTGTAAACAACATTAATATCATCATTATTTTTGGGTTTTGTAATTCATTAGTGATGTTTCATGTTTTAAGCATTAACCTTATGTTTTCTCCACAAATATTATAACTTGTTTCTCCCATGTTTGATATGGACGGCTAAAGATAATATTTACCTTTATGTTATTTTTATAAAACAAACATTCGTACAGTGTTAACATAAAATTGACAAAAAAAAAAAAAAAAAAAAAAAAAAAAAAAAAGAAAGAAAGAAGAAGAGAGAGACGAAATCGTGTTATCAAAAGGAATTCAAAATCTGTAACTTTTTACATTAAAAATAAAAAACAATCAAAAGTATGAGGACTTGAGGAAGCCCGTTCTAGAAAAATTGATAAAATATTTAAAAAATTATACTAAATTACAAAAAATAAAAAATAAGACAAGTGTGTCACCATAAACACCCTACAAGTACCATCAAGTAAGTCGACCATTTAATTGAGCTTGTAATCACCCAACTCGAAGAAAGATCGGATTCCATCAATGAACTATATCTAAAATTCGGGTTTGACCCGTATAGCGCCTGGACCCCCTCCACGTCATCAATCTTAAGGTCCACTTTCTTAGTTCTCGGACTCAAGCTCGGGTACATGATAGCGTCTTTGACCGAAGTGTGGGCCAATCCGAGTATATGCCCAATTTCATGCGTTGCAACTGATTCTAAATCAACGGCCACCTTTGATTTAGTTGATTTAAAATCAACGGCCCATGTCTCAGCTTCATCTAAATGGAGCCGACCGTTTTCCGGCGAAAAAGCGTGAGCCAACACTCCTAAAACACCGTCGAACGGCTCTCCGTCGCCATGATCACCTTTGTAAAATCCGATTTTTATGTCTGCCGACGAGTAATCGTCCGTTTCCGTAAAGTTCACCGGTATCACAGACGACCACCGTGAGAACGAACGCCGGAAAGCATCTTGCACGTCGGAGGAACTAAGGTAATCGATCATATGATTACGGGAAAAAGCGTATGTTAGCGACACCTGAGCTGATCTCCCCCACCGCGGCTCACCGTAAAAATACGCATAGTGTTTAGTGACGTGGATTTTGTCCGTCGACCCTTTCCTTACATCACTTACGCCGCAGCGCGGTGACATGATCTGCGTCACAGTCCCGGCGTCGAGCTTTCCAGTCACCATCAATCCAAGGTTCCTCTGGTAGTTAACGACGGCGGATTCGAAACTATCATCGAATATGTCTGTGAAGTTATCTACGACGTTGTCTGGGATTTGGAGGTATCCAAATCGATGGAAGTACTTCTTGAGCTCAGACATGCCGGAGAAGTTGGCACCCTTGCCGGCGTCGATGAAGTTAACGAAGTTGTTCCAGGTGGCGTTCGGAGAGAGGTCAGCGGGGAACAGAGTGACGGGAAGGGTTCTGGCGGGAAAGAGAGAAGGGATGAGACAGAGGAAGAAGATGGAGGTTAAAGAGTTATAACTGAAAAACTGGAACATGTTTTGGTTAGTTGTAGTACGATTTCTAAAGTATTTTGATTTACTACAATTTGTATCAACACCAAAAATCAAACTATTTATATTGAGCATAATACTCTTTAATATTTATTTATATATATGTATGTGTGTGTGAAATATCTTAAAAAAACAAAAATAGATAAGAAAGATATACAAGGAAGATGGGACTTGGGAGTTAGAGAAATGGAAGAATCTTTGGACCGAAGTGCAAGTCTTTTTTTCTTTCTGATTATGACTAGTTTTTTGATAGAGATGTTCTAAGGTGGGTGAACCACTGGGTTGGGGTTCTATTCCTTTTCATTTAATTTGTTTTTATATGTTTAATGTTTAATTCAGTTAAATAATTTAGTAATAGTACTCTTTTTGTTCTAATGACGTCATTTTCGTTAAATTTTTTAAGCAAATGGTCAATTTAGGATAAGGAGACGAATGAAAAGGAAATAACAGATTATAACATCAATTCAGTGAGAGAATCTAAAACATTGTTTCGTTGTCTTATTGAATCATTGGAAGTCGATGTACTCTTGTGGTGATGTTAAGATAAGAATGCTATATAACTAATAAAACAGTCCTCTCTATTAAAAGTTAAAACTGTACATCATATTCTTTTTTTTTTCCCCTTATGGAAATAATTACAAAGACATAAGGGGTAAAATTGAAATTTACCTTCAAGATGTTTTGATCGTAGAACCGGTTTGTGGACAAGCGTCAAGAAATAGTGTTTACATTTTTTTTAGTGAATCACTGAATAGCCAATCACTTATTCCTTCAAACATTTTTTTTTATTAAATAACCAATTTCCCACTTAAATGGACATTACATGTTTAACATTACTACTCATATATATGTCTTAACTCTGAAATATGGAAAATTCTTAATTATTCAACACATATTGATCTAACCATTATTAGCAACTGCTAAATGTATGATTGATGTATCTTGTTTTTATACTTGGGCATGCTATTTGTTATGTATCATGCAGATGATAATAAAAGAATAAAAGGCTGAAAAGGCTTTATTTGATTATGGTTAATTTCAAAGAAGAAATAGAAATAGGGGTGATGATTTTAAGGTTGAAAATGGAAGGTGTTAAACCACAAATCCTAGTGGTTTTTCAGTTGAGAAATTTTCTTGCTTGTTGA